TTGAATTGATATGTACATGTATCCATTTATGACATGCTAAATATCAATGAAAATGATACATGGGTGACAGAGATATAGTAATATTGCCAAAAATAAAAACAGCCGTTATTCAGCCATCTTTGATCTGATTATGAAACAAACTGACATGTATGATGTATTTGCCAAATACGAATGAAAATGGTACATAAATCTTGGAAATATAGTAGTAAGGCCAAAAAGTCAGATGGCTGTCAATCGACCATCCTTGATCCGATTTTGAAACAAATTGTCCTGGACATGTATCCTAACATGTATAAAATATGTGCCAAATTTGAATGAAAACTGACAAAGCATGTCCAAGATACCAAACATAAAAAACAAAACAAGATGCCTGCTAGTCGGCCAACTTTGACCCAATTGCAAAAGAAATTGTCATGGACATGTATCCTAACATGTATAATCTATGTACCAAATTTCAATGAAAACTGACAAAACATGTAAAAAATACGACATTTTCAAAAAACAAGATGGCTGCCAGTCGGCCATTTAGAATCGAATCGTTAAACCACTACATGTGCATATGTCCCACATAAAGTACTAGGCACATGCAAAGAATGAACGGAATCGGTCCAAAGGATTCTGAAATATGACTCTGGACGGACTGACTAACGCGCGGACGGATGGACAGATGCACGGATGGACGGTCGGGAACATGTATCATAACATGTATAATCTATGTACCAAATTTGAATGAAAACTGACAAAGCATGTCCAAAATACAACATTTTCAAAAAACAAGATGACTGCCAGTCGGCTATTTTGAATCAAATCGCTAAACCACTGCATGTGCATATGTCCCACATAAAGTACTAGGCACATGCAAAGAATGAACGAAATCAGTCCAAAGGATTCTGAGATACGACTCCGGACAAATAAAAGATGGCCATCTATAAATGCCTAAAGCCAAGATCCTGACATTCAGGAAGGTAAAAGGATATTATCCACCAATTTGCCAACTAATCTGTAATAGTAAGTATGGTCCGGAGTCCAGCTTATTTCTTCTACTGGTTTAGCAATAAACTTTAGATAATCAGCACTTACACACCTGTGGATAAAAAAACAGGACATTATACATTGTACTAGTATTGCCTTTTCTGATGAGATTTAACTTTTCGAAATCCTATACTTTTACCATTTTTACATATTTTTAAGTAAGATTTTTTTCTTATAAAACATAAAAAAAAGTGGATCTGCATGCGTAAACAAAATATTGCACCACCAATGGCAGACACCTCCCTCCTTATTTTGTGAAAGTAACAAAAGGTGACATTCAAATGGTGAGTTTCTTAAACATGATGTGAGCAGTACATTAGAAGTTAGTCAAAACAAATGTTAAGTTTCAAATAAACTTTGAACATGTAATCTAGAATATCCTACCATCCAGGGGGCCTTATATCCTTGAGTGATCCAATAATAGCGGCAACAAGTTTCCTCTTTAACAGCGGCCGGTCCCGAAGATTCCTCTCATAATAGTGTAATGTATTATACAAGTATGTGACTGGACGATCTGATTAAAATAAAACATAACATCGATCAATAAAAATCGGAAGTGAATGTGCTTTATAAGCACGAAGGCAGTACAGTCCTCATATCGACCGATGTATCAAAGAGGTCAATACGACTCGCACTGCTTGAATGCATATTTTGTAGTATTCTTGTGATATTCTCTTTTTTCTGTTCATTTTAATAATTTAATGGGAGAAAAAAAAAATTGTGCTGTACAAACATTTACGTAAGTAACAAGATTCTAGATCTAACGTAAACAAAGGAAAGTGTGTGAATGTGACGTCAATAACTGGGACCGTGTCAATGTTGGTGATGTATGATATAAAGAAACATTTGAATATTTTGGATGGAGTGCTGATGTTACTTTTTCTATTGTTTTTGATGCCAGATCATTTAAATTATCACAAATTTTGCAATAATTGTCAATGCAGATGACACAACTATGTTTTTACTCAATTTGCATTGTTTAGACCCAATCTATAGTCGCTGGTTCATATGGAGTAAAACTGATTGAAAATGTTCATATTTCATGTGATTCACAAGAACAATCACATGTTTTGGGGACAATCAAAGTTTGTAGAGGTACTGGCCTGGTCTGGTGGATTAGTTGGTTAAACCTTGTTCACCATACTTTTATATAATACATGTATGTTTATACCAAAGAGAGGAGGAAGTAATTCAGAAACATAAATATAAAGAATTCAATTTTACAGGTAGTAGTTTCCAGAGGCGACATATACAAACTTGGAATTGCATTGGGAAGAAAGAGTAAACCAAAAACCCCAGAAAATGAAAGAACTTGCAAAAAATGCAATTCAGATCAAATTGAAGATGAAATGCATTTCATCTTAGATTGCAATTTCTATGAAGTAGAGAGAAAACATGTCTTGAAGTATTTTAAAATAAAAATTAATGAGTTGTCTAGAATGGAAAGCTTCGTGAGAATAATGGGAAATAATATGGCTTTGTCATATTATTTAAAAAATACCATTTTCCAAAGTTAAATATGTAACTGTGGTCTGGGAGAACCTTGCGCTGTTTAATCAATTTTTCAGACATTTTCTAATTTTTATTTCCTTCTTTTGTTGAATTTCAATGTATTTTAATTTTAGTGTGTCTTATTTTATTTGTCTTTTGTAATAATTTTTTAATTACTAAACCCACAGATGATTAAGTTGCGCAATAAAGTTATTATTATTAATATTATAATTGCTATAATCCACCAAAGTCAGCCTGCATAATTGTTTTCATATTTTTTTTTCAAAAGTTTTGATCAAGTTCTGCAGCTTGTAAGTTGTAGGAAATACTGTAAAAGGATTAATTATTCACTGGGTTTTAATTTTGCTTATTTTACTGACTGGAAAATGCACTAAATTAAAACCCAGTGAATATGTAAACTTGAGCATAGAACACATTATCTAAATGATAAAACCGTGAATTTAAAACCAACTGAATATGCCTGAAATGGTAAATCAGTGAAATTTTAACCCAGTGAAAATTAGTCATTTGACAGTAGACGATTTTCCGTTCACTGTGATATCATGCATAGTGTGGAAGGCACAGACCAAATGTCTGCCAACAAATTTGATCTTGATTTTGAACTTAAATTCCTATTTTTAATGTAGAAATGCCAATGTTTCAAATGGCACCGAGATACCCTTATTCTGTTGAAATTGACCTTCATCAAATGTGCAAAACATATTACTATAAAACATGGAAATACCCTTAAAATATTTTTGCATTTGACCTTTGTCATTTCGCACATAAAAAGATTTTGATGTGATCGAAAAATGGTATATTTAGAATATTTGGTTCAAAATTAACAAAGAAATGTTTAAAATGTGGCACCGAAATTTAGGCGAGAAATAATAATAATCTTTATTGCATAATCTTATCCTTATTTGGATATTGACTCGGGAAAAAAGAAAATTACAATAACGATGAAGAACTGAGAAAGTAGCAAAACTTGAAGTGCTAAAATAGAAAAATAGAAAAGAATTAAAAACAAATTGTTTATTTAGGGGCAGCTGGTAGTTTTTTTAAATGATTTTCTCTGGCACTGAAACGGTTATAGATGTAGCTTGCTAGTTTTTTTTTTTGGGGGGGGGGGATTATTGCTTTATAGCATTGTTATCAATTTATTAATATTTGTGTTGTTGCAATGTACTTAATTTATTTTCCTTCAACATTTCAGTCCTGTCATTGCATTTCAGAAAGAAGTGCATTTCATCTTCAATCTCATTTTGGTCACAAGCAGTGCACTTTTTACCACTGCATGCTATTTTTTTGTATCATCCTTTCTCTATTTCTAAATTATGGGCGTAAATTCTTAATTTCGTTAATGCTGCTCTGAGTTTTGCATTTGTTAATTTGGCAATTCTTTTTTATTAGTCCATATGTGCATAGCTTATTCATTTGTTTTTTGTTTTCTATTATCATCATGCATTTGTTCTTGTCTTTTGTAAATTATGTTGATTAGACTGGTCACAGTCCTTCTATCACCGGTCTGGCAACGACAGACCATCTTTTGTCTCTATCCCCGTACGGGTAAACAGATTATTCACACCTATGATAAGCAGTGATAGTTTTCAAAAAATCCCAGCATGCAGAGCGGCATGCAGATTTGCGCTTGCGCAGTTAGTTTTGTGGAGGTCATTCAGAATCAAAACAAACTAGCAATTGTAGCCATGTGGAAATCTTACGGAGATTACATCGAGTTCGACGATGCTAACGTTTGGAAGATGTCCGTTTTTCTGAAGACGATCTGATACAAGATACCACTGCATGTAAACAAACAAAGTTACACCCTAAAATAACGCATTGTAAAACAAAAAGACAAAATAAAAATAGTCCACCAATACATAAATTGTCGAAGCTCCCGATGTTCTAAGTCAAAACATTCTTACATTTTTAGTTTTACGTAAATTAGCGCAGTTTAAAATTACGGAACTCGTCATAGGGAAAAATTCAACACTGCTAAAATTTCGAAACCAGTAACCACAATTTTTATTTTGGGATAGTTATGTAGCTAAAGTTTGACATGTAGAATCTACAAGGACAATAGTTCAATATTTCGTAACGTTATCAAAGTTACGAGACGCAAACATTGATTTAATTGCCCAGAATAAAGTGATGTGGGATCAGACTATGGAGTCAGCCATGTTGGATGCGAACAAAAATAGCATTGGTGACAACGCACTACTCAAAAAAGGAAAATACAAGAAAAAAAAAAAAATAGCCCACCAACTTTTAATAACATTAAACTGTCCACCTGGGTAGAGAATGGGTAAATATGAAGTTTGGTAACAGAAATAATTGGTGCATAAAATCCCGTTCGTCAAAATCAAACACAGTGCAAAATCAAAATAGCGTCACTGCGATAATTTCGATGGTTGAAAAAACAGTGACCACAATTTGTATTTGGAGAAAGTTGCGTAGTTGAAGATTGGCAAGTAATAATCTGTGGTGAAAGCCGTTCAATATTGCGTAACATTGTCAAAATTACGCAACGTCAACATCGATTTTACAGCCAAGAAGGAAGTAATATGGAATACAGGAGTTGCGCCATGTTGGTTTTAACGAAAATAGCAATGGTAAAAATAAGTGGCTATTTTAATAGAAAAGTGCAGAAGAGAGGAATAACAAATGTGCCGACCAGCTTCTAACATTGTTAAACTGTCCTATTTGGTGGAAAATGAACGAATTGAACCCCCGTGTGATGGAAATAAAAAGGAAGTAAAATACCGACTTGTCTCAGTGTATGATGCTGCATCTGTTCGGAAAAACAGGGAACAACAATTATGGCTAAATACAAGATAAAAAAATTCTCAGGAAGAATTACTCCTCGTAATGGTAGAAATACTTCTATAATGATTATAACAGGTGAGATTGGGTTAAAAAACATTGGAGAACAAGACAAGGCGAATAATGGCAGGAACTAAACTGACAACTGGCGTGATGCTTATTTTGTAGCTATGCTTCGCGGAACGCCGTACGCAGTTGGTCCCAGGGGATAAGCTGTTTCACACCTAAAACAATAGTCGTTGCCAGACCGGTGATAGAGGGACTGTGGACTGGTGTTACAATTCGGATCATTATTTTCCCAAGACTTATCCATTTCTAAATACTCTAAAATACTTTATTTTCGCTATTATCGCTGAAGTAATGATTCAGTGAAAATAAAATCCAGCAAATATATCTTTTTACATTCAACTCGTCAAAAAATCAGTGAAAATAAATTCCATATAAAAACCCAAAACGTCTTTTCAGTGAAAATTAGTTCCAGCTAAAATAAAATATTTTTGATACCAGATACCTTTACCATCCATCTCTATTTCCTGCTTTAACTGCAGAGATATTGCACTAAAAAAACCACCAGCTGCCCCAAAATAATCACTTAATTTTATTGTTTTATTTTTGTTCTGTTTTACAATTTTACATTTCTTGTATTGTTTTATTTTTGTTCTGTTTTACTTATTGATTTAGTTTTCTAATTGTTTACTTTATTTTGTTACTTTTTTAGCTAGCTGTTGTTTATTTAAACAACATACTTTATTGTATTATTTTCAAGATCTCAATAAGGATACGAAATCAATAAAGTTATTTACTTACTTTACTTATACATATATACATGTATATATATATATATATATATATATATATATATATATAT